ACACACACACACACACACACACACACACACACACACACACACACACACAGAGAGAGAGGTTTTTAAACCCCGAAGGGGCTGACTGCAGGCGTGCAGAGGAACTGATCAATACGATTCAATCTCCATCTTTGACTCTGACGCAGAAAGGGACGAATGACACCTCCATTCAAACTCACCTCACCTGCCTCTCATCCAGGACAGAAAAGGGATGTTGTTACCGTGACAACAGCTCGTGCTACATCCGCCTTGATAGGAGCTTTTGATAAATCTCTCTCCAACACACCGACATTAAAAGGTCATAACACTGAGTTTCACAATGTATTTACACTTCCAGACACATGTGCTTCTATACGCAGTTCAAACGTCTAATATGAACAGTGAGAGGCCAGTTTTCACATTTACAGCAGAGGTTTAAGTTTCTCGTCACACACAGAGTATACGGTGGTTTTTTTTTGTTTGTTTTGTTTTTTCCAGGTACGAAGTGACAAACAACATTTGCATGATGAGCTTCTGCTCACGGCACGGCTACACTTTTAGAATAAAACTCTTCTAAAAATAGTTTCAGGCTGCGGGATGGAAAGCAGACAAAGCGATACAAGGGATAGGAAATGGAGAGGAAATAAAAAAAGAGGCTCCTCTTTTGTCATCTGTAACGTCCTGTCTTTTTTCTCTCCTCATTAGAGTGACGGATGTTAAGTCAAAACGTTTCCTGGTTCACGGAGCCCATTTTCTCACTCTTCCTTTTTCTTCCTGTCATCGCCCCCTCTTGGGTTGCCAAATTAGTTTACCTACAAACCGCCGCGCTTTTGGGGAGTTTCCTCCTTGCTGCTCCGCTTTACCTCCCTCGTATTGCTTTCTCACACACCTCCGAGTTAACCGGCGTTAAACCAGGTCTACTGCTACGATCCTTCACTGTTCATCCTCACAGTATGGATACATCACTGCCAACTCTTTTTATCAGTTTATTTCAAAGAGAGAAGTCGTGTCCCTCTCGTGAGTTTTGTGAGAATTAAATAAAGAGGAAAGAAAGGGATGTGCCGTTCTTGGAGGCAGCCTTTTGTTCTGCCTCGCAGAAAGTCCTCGGCAGGGCAGGAGCAGAGGAGAAAACACATTCAAGTGCTACAACGAAGAGGCTAAGATGGCACAGAGAGGGTGCTGGAGAGGGACGGACAATGGGCTCTGAACGCTTGTTTTAAAGTGGAAGAGGAGTTGTGCACAAAACTTTCCTTCATGTTTAAATCCMTCGAGGGCCACTCCGCTCCGCAGGTTTGTGTCGATGGAAGGCTCGGTGCATGAAGGAAGGGCCTGAGAAAGGAACATCTGCAGTGGAAACTACTGGTCATGTTCGCAGGAAGCCGCGAGGAATCAAAGTGCAAAGAAACGGCGAGTCGGAACTTGAGGCAGATTTTTAGGAGTGGCTGAGAAAAAAATAATTCTCAGATCAGTCTTTGGTGAAATCGAGGATGGAGACCCGACGTGTGAGACGAAGAACTTTGAGGGTTCAGGAAGAAGTCTGGATGGATTTGGAGGAAGGCCTGGTCCATCGAACTACGGTGAAGACGGACTGCACTCCAGAGAGGCTGCAGACAGAGAGAGAGAGAGAGAGAGAGAGACATAAAGCACCGTGAAACATTAGGAGACAAAACATTTGAAATGGGAGAGGAAGAGGAGGAATGTGATCCCACTGGAAAGAGAATCTGAGAAAAAAGAGAGTGGGGTGAAACCAAGCAGAGTGACGTAAACGAGAAAGGAAATTAAGAAGTTGAGATCAAACAGGAAAAAAAAAGAGCTAAGATAACAAGCATGGGCACAGTGAGGCATACAAATGGATCGGGTGGGGTGAATTAGAAAAATAGAAGTGAGAAGGGGGGCAGATAAGAAAGCTGGAATATAAAAAGCGAGACGGGAGGGGGTGTGAATAAAGAGAGGGGACGTAATTATAAAATGGCAGAAGAAAAATCAATGCAGAGGCCATCATTGTGCTCGCAGGCGCCTCACAAAGAGAGGAGAGGAGCAGCGTGTCCATCAAACGGTTACACACCAGCACATGTCAGCGTGACACACACACACACACACAAACACACTTCAAATGGAGACTGAAGACAACAAGGATGAATCAAACAGATGAAGCAGAGAGAGACAAGTGACATTTAAAGCTCAATTGAAGCATGTGATGACAAGACGCAGAGATCCAGCCCCTCCTGCTCAAACGCCAGCTGGATCTCACAGTTTCTCTACTTTCATTGAGCAGATTGGAAACTCGGATCGGGCAGACGACACAATAATGGTTTTAGAGGAAATGTCTGAGTCCGATGTGGACGTTTTTTTGCAGATCTATAAATTTATTAAATCAGATAACGGTTTTAACTCAAATCAAAGGAGCGATGATGGGTGCAGTTCCACATTCAAACACTAGAGGCGCTAATGAGTCAAATAAAGTCCAGCATGAATCATAATAAATGAAACAGTCAGAGTGAGGCAAAGTATTACTAGCATACCTTTAACATCTCAGTTATTACATTTAGTTTTTCATGTTTTTTTAGATCACAGTTCTGGGTGAGTCCAGATCTTAAAAAACAGATTATTTTCAGAGAGATACTTGGAAATAAAGGGGTATGAGCTGTGCTTGCAAAAAACACCTCAAACTGTCATTTTGTTCTCATTTAGTCACCTTTAGCAGCATAAAGTGGTCAAGTTTAGTTTATTCTTTTGTAGTACATTTAATATTGCTATTTTTTATGCTTGTTWCCAAATGAAAAAGGACACAGAGCTCTGAGTATTATCCATTTAAATATTACACGTTAAGAGCCTCAGTCTTTATGGAAAACATCAAGTGAGCACAAATAAATACTGCAAAATCAATGTTTTAACTGCAAGTTTTTCAAAAGTCAAACAGCTGCATTAACGTCTCATCAGATGTATTTTCAGTTGTTTGTCATTAGAGTTGTGCAAATTCAAACATTTCATCAAAAGCGACTCTGAAGCATCACAGCAACTCAGCTTAACTCAATAAGGCTTGTAAACAGCGTGCCACACACACACACACACACACACTTGCCTAACAGAATTAGTGTGAGAGCTCATCAGTGCGGCGGGACCACACACACACAACAAAAGACTGAAATTCCTCACAGATGTAGGAGGGTCTTGACAAGCTGTCAGCATGTTCCACAGACCCCCTCTGCCAGGGAGAAGCCCCTCACAAACACCACCAGGGACGGCTCCTGGTCCACGTCTTCATTTCAACAATTGTTTACATCATTATTCTATGTGTGTCTATGTAAACACTCAAAAATATACTTTCACACTATGTGTTAGACATATTTTAATATATTAATCCTGCAGTGCATTAATAATTAAGATTAATAAGGCTAAATAAGGTTTAGTTAATATAAAGTGCTACCAATTCTTACTTTTTAATATTTTTCACTCTGGTTAAAGTGATGAACGACAGCATGAAAACAAAATGTTTGCTCATCCTGCTGCTGCTGCTTGGTTTAGTTGTCAAGGACAGAAAAAGGGCAAAACACTCAGGAAAATCTTTTCTTAAACCTAATTACTACAATCTGCCAAACTTCAATTAAGCAGAGAGATGTGTGAATCATGTGTGTGTGTGTGTGTGTGTGTGTGAGAGAGAGTGAGAGTGTGTGTGNTACAAAAAGAAATTCCAGTTTGACAAGKCAGATGCCTTTTATCACGCTCAGACTATCAAATTCAAAACAAAACTGTACAGTGCTCTGTGTGTGTGTGTGTGTGTGTGTGTGTGTGTGTGTGTGCGTGCACAGGCCTCCTCATCAAACAGTGTGTACAGTAAGACAATGTGCGTATGTTTTAATTTAGAGTTTTTCTTCCTTTCAGACTGACGAGGCTTCATGTCAAAGTCATTTTACAATGACATGAATGTGACAGAAAAATAAAGAAAAATTAAATAAGTCCCTGCTGGTTATTCAAAGTGCCGTTAGTGCAAACATGTTTTAAAAAAGAGTGGTGAGAATCGCACCCTTTGAGCTGAGGAGTACCTGATGAGTGCAGGGTGTAATTATAGAGCACATTTAAGGAGACACTGTTTATCACGGCGGGTTCTTTTAGGTGGGAGGATAAGAAAATATAACGGAGGAAGTAAAGAGCTAAATAGCATCATTGGGTTGTTGCCTCGGGGTAAAGCTGCTGTCAGTTTACTGCCAAAATAGCAAAAAAATACGGCTTTTATTTCATGGCAGCAGGAGAGGAATCACTCGCTGCTACAGAGGAACACGACTGAAAGTGTCATCCAAGTTTACAAAAAAAAGTCAGTTGTTTTTGACTTGCCAACTTTTTCAAAAGAACCTTTCAACTTCGAGCATGTTTTTTTTTTTTTTTTTGCTCAGACGTGTAAAGGAAGGCTGTGTAAAAATATATATATAATACTTTTGTAAAAGAAACAAAAAAAAACATACAGCCTCTGATGTGGAAGAGTGCAACCTGTTCAGATCGTGCCTCGCAGAAATAACAAAACGAGCCGCCTTTATTGGTTGTTGAAGTAACGAGCAAGACGACATCCGAGGGTCAAACCGGAATGGGAGCTCAGACAAAAAAATTAATAAATAAAAAAACTAAACAAAAAAACAATATCTCTGGATGAAAAACAAAGTGGAAGAAGAAGGTTTTCTCCAAGTCAACACYCTCTTGTTCTCTTGCAGGAGCGTTGCAGATCGAGAACAGCGAGGAGACGGACCAAGGGAAGTACGAGTGCGTGGCCACCAACTCTCAGGGCGTGCGCTACTCCTCTCCTGCGAACCTATACGTCCGAGGTAGGACACGAAGGCAAAACACACAGACACACACTCACGTACACACACAAACACGCACGTACACGATGACGTATCTACTTTTAGGCTACTCTATTTAACGAAGCTACCCCTTTTCCATGACTGTGTTCTTGAACAAGTTTTACTAACCCATCCATTGTCTACAACACATGTTGACCCTGTTGTTTGGTATTTCTCGCAATCACATTTCACCTTAAACCTCGGTGTGATCTGGAGAGTCGCAGTGAGCTCACACTTTGGTTTAAGCGCATGGAAACACCACTGATCCTACTACTGAAGTGGTTTCTGAACTAGAGGCAGATCGAACAAAAAAAAACTTGGATGTTATCGACCAATTGGGCCTTCGGATGTCGGTGTTTTACAGGCTGTAAGGCCACACCCAACGTTCAGATTTGTTGCCTTTTTTTAATTAAAGTGGCATATCAGAATCATGTGTGTGTGTGTGTGTGTGTGTGTGTGTGTGTGTGTGTGTGTGTGTGTGTGTGTGCCTTTCAACAGAAAATTATTTTTTGTGTTCCGATGACAAGTAAAAAAAAAAAATTAAGTAAACTTAGTACAAAATGAGTGTACATCTAAGAATGAAGAGTTGACAGGAGGTGATCTGTTGTTAATTTAACAGCGCACACACACACACACACACACCTACACACACACGATTTGATCATCACGATCAGACGAGCAGCTTCAGAGTCGAACTCTGCCACGTTTCACCCTCAGTGTCGTCTCCCTCTTGTTCAGAGAGTCTCTTACATGGAAACACGCCTCACCCATCTGCCTCCCCCCTGCTCCACATCTGGATGCAGAATTTGATGAACCGGTTCTGTTCACTAGAGCTGCACGTTACATCGCCTCAGCACCGTCATCGCAATGAAGGTGCTCAGTAATCTCCAGGTCCTGTGATGTAGCAGGAAAACTGAGTCAACGGAATAAACCAGAAGTCATCGCACTAAAACAGTCGTGTGTTAAGGCTTTTATTTTGATGGGTCAAAAATGTTAAAACTTTCTTTTCGATAATAACGGCAAGGTGAAAATTTTAAAGAATCTACGCTGAAATCAACTGGGCTGTACTGTAATGTTTACAAATTAATCAAATATGTAAATTATTAGTAAGAGCCTTAAGATAGACACAGAGAACACACTCAGGTCCCAGCACTATAAAAGCAAGCAATAAATGATAAGAACTCAAATACAGACAAAAACATACGTGTTCATCATCAACATGATGGCAGCAAAACTTAATTATTCAAGTCATCTGTTGAAAACTTTTTATATCATCGAGTTAGAAAAAAATCACAATGTCAGTTTTTTCCGGTATCACCAGCCCTACAGTCTGTTCTGGTTAAGATATGAATCTTACCCCTTTGAGCCACAGAGATTTCTTATTTGCTCAGGGAATTATAAAAACATGACCGAGCCTCATTGTTATCACAGGATCTCTTGTTATTTTGGGACTCTCATATTTTCTGTTACTTACAAATGCTAAATTTAAAAAAATGTGTAGAAAACTGAGGCTGAAAACCGTCCAGCAACAGAGAAAAAGAAAAAGAAAAAAGAAGAAAAAAGTGCAAGAAATTTATTGAATCTATTAGGCCCCATTCACACCATGGATATTTTTAAAAACATTTATGTTTTGGTGCGTTTGCACCTCCTGTTCACACAAAAAAACAGCTTGTGCTGACAAAAATGAATCATAAAAAAAACTATATTCAYAGCTTTACAGGAAATGAAATGATTAATTAGCGGCATTTAAAAAGAAGGTTTTGGACCGGTGAGGTGAACCTCAGCTGCRTCAATCATCCTTTGTTTTTACTAAGACCTAACGTTTATTCTCTTTAACAAGGCTCAATGATTTCCAAATGTTGCACAATAGTTAAAGTGTTACATTAAAATGTTGCTTTTATTAAATTTTTGGCTATTTTTAAGCACAAACAAACGGCAGCAGCTAGCTGTAGCAATTCTAGTGTAACCTGGAACACGTCCAGCAGGAATATCATAACATTTATAACATAAATCTACAGAAAGTATGGCAAAATCAAAGGCAATATGAATCACAAAGGTTTAACAGCAGCCAACTGGGTGTTTTCCTCTTTCTCAGAGCTCCTCCTGTTTGTATCACAGTGAAGTAAATCTGTTGTTCAAACGAGCTCATTCTCAAACTGCTTTTATTTCCTCGTACGTCAAGTTAGATTTATTTTGCCGTTGCCACCTGCWACAGGATTTGCTGACATCCCTGCAACTTTGCAAACACATAAACCTCGCCTCTGTGGTTCGGTGTCCTTTAGTGGCTCAGCGGGGGACAGTCGCATTCAGCTTTCTGTTTGTTTTTTTTACCCCCATTTCTGTATCGAGCTGCATATCTCTCCTGACATAAAGCTGTCAGAGCCTTCGGGGCTTAAAGACGGGAATGCAAAGGAGCAAAAAAAGTAGAACAGCAAAAATAAACCCTTCAGTTATGTCACAACATGCGAGCTGACATACGTGCATCTGAGAAAGAGGTGGAGTGTGTGGATGATTCATGGTGCCGAACAGAAAAAGTACAACTGACTCGTTTTGTTGTGACGCAAACATCACCYCTGCTGTTTGGACATGTCTGACGTCAAACTATCGAAAATAAAAAAAAAATATATATAATAAAACGCATGCTGCAACACTTCATGGTATCTTTCTGAAATGAGAAATGAAATTAAATGATTGCATCAGTACTTTGAGAGTCAGCGCTGCTCATTTTCCAAATCTAACATTTTATCAACAGCAAAACTCCAATAAGTTACGCCTCATAGAGTGCAGCAAAATCAAAATAAATAGAAGTGCAACATAAGATCAAACGACAGAATTTTAACTCTGATGATTGCACAGATTAGCCTGAAAAAGGTAAACAGGGTTTTCTTCAACTGAAGAAGGTAACTGTAGCTTCATTTTAGTGAAGGAAATAAAGTCGGGCCGGCTGCTGGAGTGAATAGGAAATACTGTGTCTTAATTCTTTTAGTCTCAGGTCATCATTTGAACTGTGATTATGTGTGCATCAATATTTCCCACCATTAGTGAGCTGCTACACCAGTAGATCTGTGTCAGATGTGGGGGAGAGAGGGGGGTATCTAGTGGTTGATAACCACTTTCCTATAAAATAAGCTGGGATCTTTCAGCTTAACAGAATAGCCGAGTTTCCACCTTCAAAATAAAAGCTTTATGCTGTTAATGAACAACAAAATGCCTGCTAAAAATAATCCCTTGCACTTTATTTTGAAAAATCTAAACCAGGGTTGTCGGCATCTCCACCCCGTCAGTATCAGGCAGCAAAAATGGAAATTTGAAATGCAAAATAATTAAATCAAAGTACAGCTACATCAGTCAGGCTGTCTGCACCTATGAACCAAACTACAAATAATAATAATAA